CGTAATTTATAGTGTTGTGTTTTTGAATGTTTTCTATTGATTGTTACGAGAGACATAAACTGAGCAGCATGTGTTATCGCGTTCATTAGAACGAGGTTACAGTGTATTTGTTTCTCAAATCTACACAGACACTTAATTACGATATGTTAATTACATACTTTTAATATGTTTTGAATTTATCATGAAATGTGTGCCATATTCATATTGCATAAATTGTACTATTGTGATATTCAAGTAAAAAAGTAAAACAATAAAATTCATATTCGTAAAAATTTATTTTAAATAAAAAAGTATAATTTAAAATCGATTAACGAAATTACATTTCTATGTATGAATATGTATGAATTGGCTGGTTTATTACAATAAATATAATTGCGTGTCATTCTATGTTTATATTATTTGCACAAAGCATTACATTGGCAATATCTTGTGCGTACGTGCGTAAACACAGTCCATCAACACCGTGTTGAGGAACTGTGGTGTACTTTACTAAATTACAATAACGGTGAAATAACACGATTTGATCCATCGACGTAACTCATACAAGATACAATCGATTCATTAATGACATCCACCCAAGAAGTGATGACACAATCGATTCATTAATGACATCCACCCAAGAAGTGATGACACAATCGATTCATTAATGACATCCACCCAAGAAGTGATGACACAATCGATTCATTAATGACATCCACCCAAGAAGTGATGACACAATCGATTCATTAATGACATCCACCCAAGAAATGATGACACAATCGATTCATTAATAACATCCACCCAAGAAGTGATAACACAATTTACGAAGCAAGAAAGATCAAGCTGTACATCAATTTGATCAATGAAATGTATGTAGTTGTCGGTAGAGGGAGCTATTCACATATCCAGCTGATACGTTGTCCAACAGAGGATTCGCGTAGCACAGCAAGACTCTGGGAAGCGCATGATGGCGCCCTAATAAAAGTATTTTTAGAATATAGAAATGTGCCATAATCACAAACCGAGAAAGTTCACATATTTGAATCAAAGTTAACGTAATAACGTTAAGGCGGGGGAGTCGCACCTACACATGCGTAAGATGGCCATAGCGTGTCATTGTTTACAAATAAGCGTTTACCCATGAGCCTTTGCGTTTTTAGTGTGTGTTATCGTCGCTTGGGACTCAATTCCCACGCGTGCGCAGGTGAAGACCCTCCCGCTTTAACGTTGTTCTGTACAAGTTTGACCGTCATTTACAATTGCATTACAATTTCCAATTTCATCTGCTATCATTAATTTAAAAATTGAACTAAACCTCAACAATGAGGTTATTAAGCGATTATGGTTTATTATAAACCTGGCCGCCATCAGTTAAACTCAACTCTGGCAAATATAAAATAATTGAATGTCGAATTTGTAGTAGAACAAATTTTAACTTTTTAATTTTTAACAAATTTAAAACAAATTTTAACTGAATATGAAAAATTGGTAAAACATGTTAGAAATATTAAGTCCCAAATCACGTGTACACTATTTGGAACTCGTTTGGCCGCCGTTTACCACGGTTTTATTGTATTCTATATTTCTGTTTACATGCTAATACAATAATACTACAAGGCATAATACTATAAGTGTTTTGAAACCACGAAGGTGATTTAGCAGGAGGCATGTAAGAAGTGGCACATTGAGGACAGTTTTTGCGAAGACTGTGAAATTCTGGGATGTTGATAGTGCACAGCGAAACCAGAAAATTGTTCTGGTTCAAGCGAACAATTGAACTACATTGGTAACTTGTTGGGTTGCTGAGGGATCACGTGGTTGTTCAATTTATCGTTTTCATGTGACACATTTATGTCGCTATTTCGATGGGTGATTTATTTCAGTCTGCGATTTACGATTATTATTATAACTTTTGGTATAAACTTATTTCCTCATATGATTTGCTGGTGTTGGTTAGTTTAGCTGAGTATATAAATGTTACGTAATTTAACGAGATGTCAGTGAACCACGTTTACCGGTGGGTTTATGGAATTTTGCAAGTGCAGGTTGGAATGACTGGTAATCGGGTTCGCATTGTGATGCAAAACACCTTGAAAATTTTCGGTGTGAAGTCAGGCAGTTTTCTACCAGTTGTTTAGGAGCGAGCATCTCGTGCAATTCTCGTCGTGGTATTTTGGCAAACAATTTGCAATGCGGTTCAGGCTTTGAATTGATAGGAGTCCGACTGAGTTAACTTCGCTGAATTATCATTGCCAGGCATACAGAGTAGAGATCTGCCAAATTAGACTTATTCGAGGGACTTGGAATTGACACCCTGTGACGAAAGACATGAGCAAGTCGCCAGCATGACATTTGAACCGTAAGTTGAGATTTTTGGATAAGCTTAAACAATATACTCATTTATTTGATTGTGTAGTGAACGGGCGTAAACTTTCAATGTTAGTGCATCCAATTATTAGCACTGTAATTGTGTTGAGAACGGCGAGTATTATGGAAGCCAAGCTTGATGTCCCCTTTTCCAATCAGTTGAAAAGAAATATTAAAAAATTAAACACAGCTCTTTCATCTTTAATTTTATTATTAATATTAAATATTAACTACAAATAGCGCCCTCTTTGGGCGACCGTTACTATGAGATATGGCTGACACAAAGACTGATCGCAGAGTGGAAATCGTTTTGAGCTGTAGTTGTCCATCACTGCAAAATGTTTTTCAGTGATTTCACTATATTCTAGATGACGAGCGACTACATTACCAAACATAGTTGTCGGTTTGAGCAGTATTGCTCTTACTCATCCTCGGGGGCGGACATCCGGGCATTTTCACCGCCTGGCAACCCGCGGCGGTGAAAGCAAAGGCCCAAAACTCGCAGAAAACGGTACTTTGGGATGATTGATGAGTCTCCTCTGAACAGTGTAATAAGATTAGCCTTACGTGTGTAACATATATAAATTTGGTTGTTCAGGATTACTTCAAAGTTGAGTTTGTGTTGTGTTCTCGAATTTTCACCGGCTCGACCGGCGTTCCACAGCAGCGCGCACAGAGCCCATAGAAATGCATGTACAGTGGTGTGCGTCTTAGCATGGAACTATAGTTCCATGGTCTTAGCAACTTGGAACGTCTGGTGACGTAGCTCCGCCCCCGAGGATAAGCGTCATGTTGACATCAATGGAATAATCCGTCCCTAGTGTTATAGTAGTTCAAATTGAACAGAAGTATATTACGTCGGCATTGGCGATTGCTTGAACAGTAATATAGAATATGCTAATTAAATATGCAGAAGCAGATTCACAAATTATGTCACCAGATTTATTCAAGTGAATCTCTGTTGGTTTCAGTAACCCGCATAATTCTAGTATCACACCCTTCCATCCAGACAATAAATTACGTCATTAAATTGACAGGTTCTGTAACCCTTGATACTACATCCAATCCGATCACACGATTGTTGATGTCAAAAAAATAATTCTGGATGAGTATTAACTCTAATGATGTCTCATTTTTCTCCTTCAATCGCCCTCGTCTTTGTCCAAAAAACTATCAGTTTCACTTTTTAAAATACCATCATCACTTCCATTTTGGTTTTGCATTATTGGTTTTATTGAATCGTCTTCTTCGTACTTGTGAGCTTCTTTGCTGTGTCGTATACTGTATGAAAAGTACACAATCATGCCTGAAAAATCAAAATGAATAAAATGACGTAATGCATCAGTATTACCAATGTCAATCCTGTAAAAAAATGTTTCACTGCCAACGCCAGGTCTTAAAGCGGGAGGGTCGTCACCTGCGCACGCACGTGAGTCCCAAGCGATGATAACAACACTCGCTAAAAACGCAAAGGCTCATGGGTAGACGCTTGTTTGTAAACAATTACACGCTATGGCCATCTGACGCATGCGCAGGTGACGTCTCCCCCGCTTTAATTATCCGTCAATGTATCATTTCTGTTACACTTAGTCTAGTAATCACAGGAGCCATAAATGTGCTGACTTGCCGACATAGCTTTCGTTTTGCGTTATTTTGTATTGCATTACAATGGTCCTGTCTGGCAATGGTGAAAAATCCTTTCACGATTCATGTTTCCATGGCAACCGAATTTAAATTGCTCTAAAATATGATCGATTGAATCTTATCTCAAGTGTAATCCACACTTAACAATTTCACGAAAGTCCGTCTACAATTTTGTTAGTTGCTGCGCTCAGAGCAGACCTCCCCGGCTTTCTAATATTGCTGTGAGGTCAATGTATTCATTTTGAATATGATGACAAATAAAACCGATGTAATTGGTGTAGTTGTGTACATACATAATGGTAATTCTTACCCAATGCAATCCATACACCAAATCGTGTCCACGTGACGTAAGAAAGCTGTACCGTCAGATATACGTTGATGAAAATACTGAGAACTGGTAAATATGGAACCATTGGTACCTTACAAACCCAAAAAAATGTAAAATCTGATCAAGTTATCGTTTCATTTGTATTGTATCTCAATAAAAGCTTGTAACGTATGATAGACCAACAGCTTTGCGTCCTATGGTTATATACTGTGGTTACTGGTTGTAAAACCAGTAAATAAAGTTTAGTCGAATTTATTCGATAGTTGTCGCTATGTGTTTCCATAACAACAACAAATATGTTGCCGTATAGTTGTTTGTTTAATATCATATGCAAAATTCAATGGGTTGCTTAATAAACTGTGATATTGCATACACTCTAATCTAGTTAAGTAATTTTTGTCAAATGATAGTTTGCATTCTTTCTGAAAACATGAAAATAGTTCCTGGTATGAATTGTAATAACTATCGAACACATTACTCTGTTAACAGTGGTCTGATTTATCACGATTTGGCATATCACATGATTTGAAATGATAGACTTACATACATAAATACATTTAACAGCATGTTTATCAGTCCCCCTAGCATAGTGGACTTCTTTAACAAAATTCATAATGTTTCGATCTATAGTCGTCCATACTGTGTTTTTTAGATATTGTAAATTTAATGAAGAACATCATCACGATCAAGCAGTTGTTAAATTGAACGAAATTGCTTAGGTTACACGTATACCTCATTGTGACGTCACAGGAGCATTTTATCAATAAGGTCGCGGTTTATATAGAAAATACCATTTCAACTATGTACTGGTACGAACGTTAATTATATAAACACTAATATATTGTCTGTTTCCAACAGAACCGTTTCATTTTTTCAGTTATATCAACAAGTGAAAATGTAAAGAAAATGGAATCTACCCTTTTCGGTTTGTGAACTCTATGTACTCTAGTTTCTACTGCTGAGTGAAACAGTCAGATGGGATCGAACCCATAGTCTCCTTGGTGCTAATCACAGTCAGCTGGCCCACACGTGATAATAAAATAAATACGATATTTACTATATGGGGCCGCCATCTTGAATGCAGCATAAATCAAATAAGAGACAAGTTGTGAAACGCGTTTTTCAGATACCCACAAATCAGGACAAAAATACCAATCTTTTCTAATGCTAACTGTACTACGCCCAGGGCCAATGTTTTTTTTTTAAACTGTAGGTACAATATTTGCACACACGAAAAAAGAGTTGACAATTTGATATTTGTCTTACCTTAAAAGTGGGTATATCGTTGTCGTGGTTATGTATACATATACCACTGAATGATAAGAGCACAACCAATCCTAACACAACTGTGCATATAATGGCCCATGCCTCTACGCTCTTTAATGAACCTGCGCCATATGTGATAACTGCGGCCAGGGCGAACATGAACAACGTCATTATTACTATGTTAAACGCAGGAACACTTCCAGGTTTAAACTTTGTTAAGAAATGCAGGAACCGGAAGTGCGTTTTCAAGCTACCAATATCTGACGATTTGTGAAGCTGTTCTTCTTTTGCGCATAGAGGCACGTTTTCATCTGATTCATCACTACCTTCATCGCAATTAATTTGGTTTTCTTGTGTCTCACTTCGCGGTCGGTACCGCAGTATGAGAAGGTTAATTGCAACCATGGTGTAAGATGTAAGAGTGCCAATAGATAGAAATTCCACCAAAGCTTCTAAGGAAAACAACACTGCGAGAAAACCTGCCAATGCTCCAGAAACTATTGTCCCTACTACTGGAACTTTGGTATTTGGATGAATTTTAGCGAATACGTCAAAAAGTAAACCATCGCTAGCCATTGCGAATAAAATACGAGGAAGTGTGAACATTGTTCCAAGCAATGTAGTGGTCATTCCAAAAAGTGCACCAACACCTACGATATATTGCGCCCAGGGAAGACCATTTTGAAAGAACGCATCCGGAAATGCAGCTTCCGGTTCTATAGCAGTGTATGGTATCATTAATGTCAGTGTTACAGACATACCTACGTTAGCCACCAACGTGACTACTAGAGACACCACTGTCGCCACAGGTATGCTAAGACCTGGGTTCTCAATTTCCTCTGCAGACGATGCAATCACGTCAAAACCCACGTACGCAAAAAAACACACTGCAGCTCCCCTAAAAATGCCAGAAAATCCACCAGGAGCAAAACCGCCATAATCCTTCCAATTACTAATATCCGCGAAGTAAAGACCAACGCATATAACAAACAGTAAGACACAAAGATTTAGAGATGCAAACAAGGAATTGAATTTTGAAGAAACTGCAGCACCCAGTGACACACATACGGTTATCAATATGATCAACAATAAAGCAAACAAATCAGGAAACTCTGCCAGGGGAAACTCCAAAGTTTTAACTGCTATATACTCAATAGTAAAGTTCCGAATTCTGAATCCAATTAGTTGGTCAAAATATCCACTCCAAGCTCGCGCAATTGCAGCACCGCCAGCAAGGTAATCCAACGTCATGTTCCATCCGATCATGAACGCAATAAATTCACCCAAAGTCACGTACGTGTAAATGTAAGCCGACCCTGCCTTGGGAACTTTGGTGCCTAATTCCGCAAAATTGAGTGCAGCTAGGAAAGACGCGGCCCCCGCGATTAAGAAGGAAACAACTACAGCTGGTCCGGCGATGTTCTTGGCAACTGTTCCAGTGAGGACATATACACCCGCGCCGATCATTCCGCCAATGCCCAGTAATGTCAGATCCAAGGTAGAAAGGCATCTTTTCAAGCGAGTTCCCATCAGATTGGCATCAACAGTCTTCCGGCGCAGAAGCTTATCTGGCAGATCAGAACACCCGGCCATGATTGAACTGGTCCGCTGTAGATAAATAGAAATCCAAATGTTTCCTTGAAATGTTATTTTTTCTTATGGTGTATTCTATAATCCTAACAAAATATCCAATCGTATTATATTCGACAACATGGCAGTAATAACATTGACGGGAATGTGAGCTATTTCGACCTTAGTTAAATGAAGTACATATATTCATCATGTGTAATATTTATATATCCTGTTTGTTCAGATGGAACTCAAACACTCAAAGCACCACGAGTATGGCGTTTTTCCTATGGTACACTTACCTAATGTTCGTATGGGTCCGATACCAATTATGGCTTACCAGGACTGTGAGATGAAATGGCGACAGTTATTTCATTAAAATATGTAAGTGGGCGTTCAAAATGGATTCAGTGTACTTTCTAGTGTGATTAATTCTTCGCTAAAAATAACTGAGGTGAATAATGTTGGAATGGACTATTCTGGTGACAATGTTCAATTTATTGATTTCTACCTGATTGTGAAACATAAGCCAAATTTGTAATTTATCCAATTTTACTCGAGGATCTGATCCCCGACAATACACGATTTCATGCAACCGGTAACACATCGAAGGTTTGTCTGAATACAATTGTAGAATAAGCCTCTTAGGACGTCACTAGGTAGTACCATATCATTGTGTCTATAATTTATTATGCAGTACAACGGGTATTTTAGATCTGTCTTAATTCTTCAGTTGAAAAATAATATTACATACTAGAAACATTTGGGTGGATTTACATAGTGAGTGTTGTTCAGATTTGAGTAACTTGCACGAGAGTATGCAGCTCACATGTCGATTTTCTGCAATGCAATATCATCATAATCTGTACACTAAATTATTACATTGTGGTTTCATTTCTAAATGACTAGAACAGTCGTTCAAAGCATACTTCTGGATCACAAGCCTTTAGAAGTGATTCCGATTAAGCCAGCATATAGTTAAACGAGTTCGCGGAATGTTGCTGAAACTACAGAGACATTAATATGCAAACCTAAGTAAACAAAAGCGCTTAACCAATACTTTAAGATGTGCTTATGGTTCACGGATAGATAACAGGGAGTTAAAATAACTTCAGTGAAATTTTAATTTAAAAAATATTATCTTTTTTTACCCATCCCTCCACTTTCATCACATAATCATTTGTTTCCATGTAACCATCGTCTAATATCAACAGTTAGTTTGATGTTTGTTATAGTTTTGCCTTGAATACATTATATAACTTGCATGTGTCATATCTCACGCAACTGTACATGGTAACATAATATTACAGACTGTAGTGACAGACGTTTTTTATATTGTTTAACCAATCACTATTTTCTAAGCCATTTACAAAAATCTGCTGAGAACTGAGAACATATGAAATGGACAACTTACATGTAAATATGAATTCCAAAGTGTGCCCTTTCCACATCTGTCTGGTAGTGTGCGCGACTAGTTTATAACTAAACAAAATAATCTCATATTTTTATTTTGTGTACCTGTAGAATTCCATACACAAATTCTAAATATGGGTATTCAAAAAACGCCCGGATGTATATAATATGACAGCAAGCAAGAAAGATTGGTTTGCAGCTAAAAAGATCTGAACTATGTGTCCGTGATTATGTTAAAAGTTACTCATGAAATCCCTCTTGTTAACAAAATTAAATACACGTTAATACCAAATATTAAACTTTAAAAAAATAGATTTCTGATAATTAGATATGAACATAATTAGCGATATCATCACTACCTAACACTGTGCATAATTAATGTGATAACATAACAAGTAATATTTTATCAAATTTCTTCATCCATGCATAAGATACAGTGAAAAGTAAATACAAATTAATGTTTAATGTATTTCTAGATACGCAGATAATTAATTAGATCACACGACCAGCTATAAGTTTATCCAGTATTATCCACGTGTAATATATGTCTGCTAATTAGATATGTATATAAATAATGAGGTCACATGACCACCTAATAGTTTATCAAAATCTTGTTGTGCATATGCACAATAGCCAGTTTGGACTAAATGTGCATCTATAATAGATTTCTGGGATTTATTTATTCACAACATCAGTGAGGTCATACAATATGTTAACACTTTATCCAAGACATAATCAAAGCAAAGAATGTCCATTCATTAGTGAATGAATATCTGAAATATATCTATGGGAAATAATTATGCACATATTTAATAGACCACATGACCAGCTAATACTTTGCCCATAACTCGATAAGTGAACAATATCCATTTTGAGGTAATTTGCATCTGGAATACATCTCTCAAAATTTGATATGCACATAATTAATTAGGTCACATAGTTGTGCATATATTATATGTATAGAATTGGATATAAATGAGGCTCTTTATATGAAGAGCTCAGTTTATTGAAATATATTCATGAGCGCAATGTCTAGTTAGTAGTGAGAGTGAAACTGTAACAGGTTTGTGAGCATACATGAGACCATGTGATCAGTTAATATGACACATCTTTGAGTATTAGATGTGTGCATAATTAAGGAGGTCATGTGACTAACGGTCACAAGCACAATATAGAGTTAGTAAATGCTTACGTGTAATAGAAGACAAAATTATTCAAACAAATATTAAAGGGCGGCAGTCGTCGTGCCGCGTCCTGTTCGATATGGGACTCATAGCGACGTATACAACGCGTGTAAAATACATTGTTTATTTTACATGAAATTCCAACACGCGCTGCGCGACGACCACAACCCTTCAAAGTCATCACGCTTTGTATTCGCATGGAAAACATGGAGAAGAAAATCGTTGCTGGTCAAATTCAGAAAAAAGGGTGTACATATGACACATTAGTTTTATAATTCTTCTCAATTTAATAATGCAACGGGTGAAAGATATTTGCGTACACCAAAATCCCGCACCTGGTAGGCAATTGCCGATATATGAAAACGCCATACACGGTACGCTTTTGATGTGTAGCCACGAGACGGAGAAGGGCGATGTAGTTGGACTATTCCATTGCGTTTGCTGTGTGAGAACAAATTTAGTACGAACATAAAACTGGGAACTTGAATGAATATTAACACAAAAATTGATAAATGTAATTAAATTTCGTTTATTGGTAGCTTGTTGATATTTGATGTTGTCATTAAGCTTACATTAATAATATTAGCGCTGTGTCACGTTCTATATTTGGATGTCCTATTGCCTGTTTGCCAGAAACTCATCGCCCAGTCAATCTGTCTCTGGAATCTGTTACTTTTAGTTACCGTCACCGTATACTAGTTTCAAATATCTTTCAGAGCTCGTGTTTTGTTACGATATTCTGAATATAATGCACCATGCGCACCGATAGAAAATGTTTCAGTTCGCAAACTGAATGTTTCAAGTTTCCGTCAAGAGTGATAATAAACTAAATACGATATTTACTATATGGGCCGCCATCTTTTCAGCTCGGCAGCCAATCAGCGACGGCCTTACAGTCAGATGACAATTTAGGTTTCCAAATCCCCAAGGAAAGTGTTCCATGTTCTTTAATTATGTGATCGTATGCAAGGGAATTTTTCCACACAAAAACGCCGAATTCGGCCGAATTTTGTTATCGGTTAGCTTAATATAACCTCAACGGATCGCATTTTTGTGAAAAATTGGTATTTTTGTCCAGATTTGTAGGAATCTAAAAAACGCGTTTCACAACTTGTGCCTTATTCATTGACACGCAGATCGCCGCAAACCAA